GATAGGACCTTGGCTTTCTAGCTTGGGCAGTGGTAAAGAATCTAACTTCCAATGCAGGAGATTCAGGTTTGATATCTGGGTCGGGAAGATCCCCTGGAGTAGGAAATGACAACCCAGTCCAGTAATCTTGTGTGGAAATCCATGGACAGAGGTGCCTGGTGAGCTACAGTCCATGGGGTTATAAAGAGTCACACATGACTGAACACACATGCATGAACATATATGTACAACTGAATCACTTTGCTATATGCTAGAAACTAACACAACTTTGTAAATCAACTACACTTCAATTAAAATATATATATATTTACACAATTTAATAGTCAAGTGACAGGATTAACTGCTTACATTTGCATTTTCTGGATTAAGAAAAATGTTAATAAACTTACTGGCCAGTTCAGTGAATATGTTTGTATCCATGGCCCAGTTTTCTTTTTAAATATACATTATTTATGGCTCCTAGTTTAAAAAATTAATTATTTAATCTATGGAGATTTCTGAATATGTGAGGTAAAAATATAAATATTCTTCTTATAAAAATAGTTGTTCCAGCTCCATTTATATATCTAATAGTTCTTTTCTTCACTGACTGAATGGTGCCATCTTCACCACATATGCCATTCTGAGAGTCTTTTCCTTGGCTAATGCTTTATAGATCTGAGTCATTAATCAATTACTTCCTATTAATACCCTGATATCAATACCACACCATCATAACTATTGAAATTTTATATACCTTACCATCTGTTCAGAAATAAATCCTTCAAAAACCATCTTATTTTCACCTGCTAATTTCTTTAGGTAAATCTTAAAAATACTGGGTCAAAATCTCCCCTCCAAAATGTTTTATTGGAATTCTATTATTCAAAATGAGCTTCTTAGGTGGCTCCTGACAGAAATTTTTTGTTGTTGTTCAGTCACTCAGTAACGTCTGATTCTTTGTGACCCCATGGACTGCAGCACACCAGGCTTCCCTGTCCTTCACATCTCCTGAAACTTGCTCAAATTCATGTCCATTCAGATGGTGATACAATCCAATCATCTTGTCCTCTGTCATCCCCTTCTCCTGTCTTCAATCTTTCCCCGCATCAGGGTCTTTTCCATCAGGTGGCCAAAGTATTGGAGTTTCAGCTTCAGCATCAGTCCTTCCAATGAATATTCAGGACTGATTTCTTTTAGGATTAACTGGTTTGATCTCCTTGCAGTCCAAGGGACTCTCAAGAGTCTCCTCCAGCGCCACCATTCAAAAGCATCAATTCTTCGGCACTCAGCTTTCTTTATAGTCCAGCTCTCACATCCATACATGACTTCTGGGAAAACTATATAGCTTTGACTAGACAGACCTTTTTTGGCAAAGTAACGTCTCTCCTTTTTAATATGCTGTCTAGATTTGTCAAAGCTTTTCTTCCAAGGAACAAGCGTCTTTTAATTTCATGGCTGCAGTCACCATCTACAGTGATTCACCATCAGAAATATACCCATCCGAAAACATATTATTCTCACTTGCTAATTTCTTTAAGTAAATCTTAGAAATACTGTGTCAGAATCCCCCCTCCAAAGTGTTTTATTAGAATTTATTATCCAAAATGGGTTTTCCCAGGTGGCTCAGTCGTAGAGAATTGCCTGCCGATGCAGGAGACCCAGGTTCGATCACTGAGTTAGGAAGACCCCTGGAGGAGTAAATGGCAACCCACTCCAGTATTCTTGCCTGGAGAGTCTCATGGACAGAGGAGCCTGGCAGGCTGCAGTCAAGAGTCACCAAGAGTCAGACACAACTGAGTGACTGAGCACACATATTACCCAAAGTAACTTGGGAACTGTTAACTTTACAAATATGCTATTTATATAAAGTAGGATAATACAATTACTCTTATGTCTTATTTAAGGTTATTCTTGGGATATTTATTGGGATTTTTTGCTGATTTTATTGTAAAGGAGATAATTTTTGCCATCATATTTTACAACTAGTTATTCTGACTCTGGGACCAACTACCACTTTTTGTAAATGTCTCAGTAAATTCCCTTTATTTTCTAGGTCTGCAATCTATTGTCTTCAAATAGTACTTAATTTATCTGTATCTTTTCAGTAGTTTCAACTTTCACTCTTAGTATTTTAGCTAAAATTTCTAAAACTCTGTTGTAAAACTGATATAATAGACAAAGCTATTTTGTTCTTGATTTTAATAGGATTGCCTTTATTGTCTTCTATGACTTCACTGATGTCCTGTCAAAGGGCTTGCTACTTTCTTGACCATAGTTGATGACTCACTGCATTTCACAACTGCTCTTTTTCATAGTTGCTCTTTTTCTACTAGGGTGGTATTAACTATTTACACCACCTTGGAAGGAACACTAGACCCTTGCTTCTTTTGCCATACAACCACAGCCTATTCATCAGTTTGCCCTTTCCCATGCCTAGCTATGTCAAATCCTCAAGAAGAGAAGGTAGACATTTCTTATCTATTTCCCAGGCAGTCATGTACTGTTCAGATGGCAAAAAAAAAAAAAAAAAATGTATAAGTTAGTAATTATTTTTAAATTCAGTGTCAAAGAGCAGAAATTCCTTCCACATTCTTGCAAATGATTGACTCAGTTTTAGTTTACAGTACTCTTAACTTCTTTTTTAATGTCTTAATTGACACTTTATTGTTGAAACTGATCAGGATAGCTAAATTGATGCTATCAGGTCCCAGAAGTTCTGTCATTTTCAAAAGTGAAATCCAAGTTACTTTTGTGAACTGATTTGGTTTTAGTCAATGAATTAGTAGTCTGCCTATTTACCATGTGCAATTTTTTTTATGTTTAGCAGAGATAATCAGGATAAACCTCAATTATTCTTTTAACTTTCCTAAAGATCTGGCCAGTGAGTGGTGAAGCTGGAAACAGAAAACCCAAGTACCTTCTGGAAAACAATGTAATCTCAGAAATACTATGAAATTTTGTCGCAAATATTCATTTTGATCAAAATAAGTCATTATTTTCATTCCCACATCAAAATAAAATGGATTTATAAAGGGCGAATTCATTTTTAACGTTCTTTGTTTTTATCTTTTACAAATACACACACACACACACACAAAACAAATACACAGACAAGATATGATTAGGCCTAAGCAAAGATAAGAAGAAATTTTGCAAGTATCCCATTTTCTGAGAATTTTGGCTCCTTAATTTAAAATTATCATTTATAATAAAGGAACACATGAAATAAGATTGATTTCTACACTCAAGTATTCTTGGTCAAGAAAACAGTTTTCTCTCTTAAATGCTTTTATTTAAACACTCTTCTAAATGGACAGTTAATGCTAATTTCATGAACTGCTGCAGTCAATAACCTACTATGAAATGACAATAAAGGCTAACTCTGTCATGGCATTCAGTCTTCAAAAACAATTTAACACATCTCATTTGTTTACGGAGTGGCACTACAACATAAGCAAGGAATTATATTTCAGTATTAAAGATTATATTTAAGTATTTTTAGAATCCTCTTTAAAAATCTACACTTTTGTTTTTTTCACATTAAAATTTATTGAACATAGTTAACAATATGTAAAAGTGCTATATTTGGCATCAGAAGCATAAATAAGATATAAAACATGTTTCATTGCACTCATATCATAATTGCAAAGAGGAAAACATAAATAACTATACAGCAAGCAACAGACTTTTATATGTAGTTCATTTATTTTCTGAAGAATTTCTGCTAAGAATAATTCCTCTGATTTAGGACAATTATGTCATACGTAAAATTCAGGTCTACCCGTCCTGTAGTAGAATTTTTGTTTATCATGAAGACATTTCTAAAAACAGTTCCTTGGGTGACATGGCCTGAAATGTAGCAGCAGGCTTCCTGGAGCTAAGAGAACAAGGCTTTCAGCCAATGAAACAACCTAGTTATTACTTAAGGGCTGCTGGAGGTCTGTTGTTTCTAAAATGTATCAGTGAGATAATAATTATAAAAGATACATTATCTAACTAGCGTACCCATGAGTCAGTCATGTATTTATTCACTCCAATCTGTGGCATCTCCAAGCCATTGTCTTTAGCTTCCTTAAACACTTTGGAGAAACTGAGACAACACAGCATAAGTGCCATCTAGTGGTGAAGGGTTTCCTAACTGCATTAAGAATTCAGAGGAGGAAAACATCATTTCTAGGGGAATGATAACAGGGAAGGATTTATAGATGGGCTAATAGATCCTGAAGATACTATAGTTATTTCAAGAGTTAACTGGGGGGTCAGGAGCATACGGTGCATTGACAGAACACAGAGAAAAATATATGGCTAATATAGACAGCTTATGTATAGGAATAGTGGACGATAGGACTAGAAAAATAGTTGTGAGTGTGCAAGTCACTCAGTCATGTCCAACTGTTTGCAACCCCATGGACTATATACAGTCCAAGGAAAAATGCTTGGGTCAAAATAGGAAACTCTGGTGGGGGAGTGTCTACTCTCTATCCTATGGGCAACAGAGTGCAGTCATCCATCCAATCAATGTTCACTGAGTGATAACTACACATGAGCTCTGTATTAGTTTCTGGGTATACAGTGACGAACAAAGCAAACACGGTTCCAAGCCTCATGGAAATTTTGGAGTAGACAAACATTAAAAGAAAGCGGTATTGAAACTTCTGAGCAGAAAAGGAATGGAGAGTCAAACGACTTGAGTCTGTAGCCCAGCTCAACTACTTACAGGAAGTGATTTAACCTCTGAGTCTGTAGAAAAAGAGAACTACCCTGCTTATTTCATAGTGTGGCACTGAAGAGAAAACTACATTAATATACGCAATATACATGAATCAGTTTTCTCAAACTGTAAAATTCTACACAAATGTGGAGCATAATGATGAAAACAGTGTTTCACAACAAATATTCTGGTAGAGGTATGCAAAATAAAATGAAAATGGACATAAGGAATTTAAAAAACCACTAATTCTAGGAAGTTACTTTATAGAATTTACTCAGCAATATAAAAATGATCCATTACAGCATACCTGATATGGCAATCTTTCCTCTACAAGCTGTCCGTTCTTTACTTTCAAAATTCTCCTCACTGTCAAAAGAAAATAAAAACCTAATGAAAAAAAAAACAAAGATCTTCTCTAATAAGCAATTTTTTTTTAACAATCTTTCACAAATGCCTAAATATTAAAAACAAACACATATCCTGGAATAACAATGACTTCCAGTTAATATAACTATTTGACTCAAACTTTGTGATATTTAGCCAACAGCTAGCTGACTTTAAAAGAAATAGAGCCATTCTCTCTTTTATTTTTTCATATAAGCTTTACTTTCCCTGATGATTGCATATTAGCTTACTCTACAATGAAAGTCTTTTGTGACCTCTTACATTTATAAACAAGATATGCCATATTTACACAAGTCCTAGGAAGTATATCTTGGGTAACCATTTCATAAATTACATTTATAGCTTACCAGATTACAGTTACCTGAAAAAGTTAATAAATAAACTTTCTAACCATGAACTTGCCGCTGAAGTGTATATTATCCCTATAAAATCTCTAACATTTAAAAAATTACTCTCTGCTACATATTCATGTGTAGTAATATTGTAATTTACTTCCTTGAAGCTTTAAACACTAAGCATATATCAAAACAATAAATTAACTAAGGTGGCAAAGGAAGGGAGTGGCCCTCTAGAGAGAATAAATGTGGAGAGGAAAACATTACCATGACAATAGAAAATGTCTCAAAGGAAATTCTTGGGATATAAGACACTTCCAGGTTTGAATGTAGACTATACTATTATCATAAAGTTTTTTTTCAAAATAGTTATTTCCATTAGACCAAATCAATCCCATCTCTAAACAGTTCTCCAATATCCTGCTTCCTAATAAATAACCTACATTTAGAGATTAGCATTCCATTTCTAGAGCAATGTATCCAGGAGTATTCTTCTGTGCACTTTTTTTTTTTGTCTCTATTCAATTTGGTTAGCCAATTAACTGCCAGTTAATTTAATTAGGTACCTCAAGTATGTGGTAAGATAGAAGCTTCATTTGAATACTGTTTTGATTCTAAAAGGACTTTTGGAGAAAGACTGAGTGGGAGTGTGAAGTGTATCTAAGCTTCAGAAGAGTATGACACATCTTATATGCATTTCAGTAGCCTTGCTAAAAAGACTGCACATAATATTACCATGCACCAAATTTTAAAACAAAATATATCATCCTACTTTTTTAACTCTTATTGGATTAAGCCCATAAGTATTACAGGTGAAATAAATTCCAAAGGAGCAAAAATAATTTACTGAGGTACTTATGGTCAGTAAGCCTATATGGGACATTTATATAGAGAGTATTTATAGAATTTATAGAATCAAGCACTAGGTATAACTTAAGTAATATAGTAGACTTAAAGTCATAAATTCTCAGGATCCTATCTAATAATTTTGTGGTCACACTGGTATTTAAATTAAAACAGGGAATTCACTCAGTGAAAAATAAAAGTACTCATTATTTCAAAATAATGTTTTGTTGAATCATAAATTTTAAAGAGTCAAGTTCAATATTTCATAGACAAGTTCAGTTTGTCATGTTGGGGAATACCAGCTGGCTTATTAGGTCATCAGAGTGAAAAATTCAATTGAATGGTCTTATGTTGTGAAATTATACACTGAAAGGCTAACTAGAAATCAAACACAAATCTCAATTTCCTCAAATTGGTACAAGAAATACAGTATAAACACAGTTGGCTAGCATTTGTAAGTAAATATTTCTAAAAATATCTCCTATATGAGCAAGGCATAAATTCTTCAAAATATCCATTTCAGTGAAAAAAATACAAGGAAGCTCTAATACAGTGAGTAACTTCAGTATTATGGACTAGGTCATAGATTATGCTAAAATTTAAATCCATTAGGCATTATTAAATTGGATTAAACTTAAGGCTTTGGCAGACAAGTGAAATTCTAAAATACTAGAAACACCAAAAGCAACTGGCTGAATATTTACCAAAAAAATTTTCCCACTCTAAGTTATTCAACCACCTGGCAGGGTATAGCTTTTTCTCCCCATAACTGTAAATTACTTGCATAGGCAAGTCCTTTTCAGGACTAGTCAACAAACTTATTATACACAAATATTATCAAACTATAATATAAATCCAATTAACCAAATAATCTTACAGAATAATTGTCTGCCTTTAAAAAATTAAGAGATGAAGTAATCCAGTCTTATGTTTCAGAAACTTGAATTATTTTCAATTCAGATAACTCAATTGCTATTTAGGGTGCTAAAACGTGATGCTTTTCTAATTAATCCAAATTGACAACAAAATTGTTAAACATTATCTATTTAACAATGTGCTACTGTAGCTAATAGTTTGTTACAGTTAAATAAATATTTGTTTTAAAATCTGCAATGTTAATGCCAATTCTAAATGCTACAATTAGCCAGTCTGAAGAAAAAGCAAATAACCATAAAAATCACTCAATCAAAAGCAACTATATAACAGTGTACCTTATTCTTATGAACCTGGTTTAGAGAATTATTTTGGTAAGATTTGTAAAAGCTAATTTAAAAGACAGAAATAAAAATATAAAAGACAAATTTTTAAATTTTATTAACATATTTCTGCCTGTAGGTAAATAAAATGACCAACAGAGGGTGCCAATCAGCCACTTCGTAGCTCAAAAATCTGTATTAAAATTAGCAGAGTAAATACAGATTACCTTATTTTATATTGTTCCATATTGGAATTTACAATAGCACTGCCTTCCAGAGTTAACAAAATACATTAAGAAATGACACATGATGAAAGTATTATTTTCTTAATGAAGCACTAGAAGAATTCTAAATAGGATTCTATTATTTAAAAGCAGATTATAAAAATCCTTCACCTCTCACGCAAATAAGTGAAAACTAAAACACCCAGAAATGCTTAACATGGAATTTTAAGTCATCTAAAACTATGTGGTATAAAATCAATACTTTCATAAGTATGTTAAGTTGGGAAGATGAGTTTTCTACTTTAAATCTTGAAATAACCTATTTTCAACAGACATCAAACAATATAAAGTTTAAAAAAGTAAAACCAGTGATGTCTTTAATATACCATATTGTATTGCAGAAATATCAGGAGTACATAATTATCACTGGCGATCTACACTTTTAGCTTTTACTTTTATGTTATAGTATATAAGTAATAAAACTAGTCAATTGGAGTGTAAGAAACTATTTAGCTTTGTGGCATTATTAAAATCACAATCATGTTGAATGATACATATAATTAGGTCCTATAAGTATCTTTGGCTAGTATTATAAAGTCAAATAAAGTTTCAAGAAGACAGACTAGTGGGTTGGGCCAGGAGAGAACATTACTGCTAAAATGTAAGTTCTATAAGAATAGGAATTTGGGGGGCTTCCCTGGCGGCTCACTGGTAAAGAATCCACCTGCCAAAGGAGTAGACAAAGGTTGATCCCTGATCCAGGAAGATCCCACATGCCATGGAGCAACTAAGCTCATGTATCACAACGATTAAGCCTGTGCTCCAAAGCCCAGGAGTCACAACCAGCAGAGCCATGTGCATGCTCCACAATGAGAAGCCACTGCAATGAGAAGCCCATGCACCTCGACAAAACAGAGCCTCCACTCGCGGCGACTGGAGAAAAGCTCACGCAGCAGCGAGGGCCCAGCACCGCCCAAATTTTCAATAGATGAAAGTATTGAAGAAAAAGAATAGGGGTACTTTGGCCTATTTTGTTCACTGCTCAATCACCAGTGCCCAATATATATAACTCAGAACAGTCTAAGGAACTCAATAAATGTTTAGTGAATAGCAAATGAAGTAAAACAGGATATGGTCATTTTGGTGGAGCAAGTCCTAAATAGGTGTGACTCTTACACACTAATAACTAGTTAGTAAGTTGCTGTTAACCTCTCAGACTCAGCATCTCATCTGTAAATGGAGGGAAGTATTTATCTAATAGCTACTGAATAAAAAAAATATTTTTAATGTATTCTGTATCATTTTTAGTGTTAAGTCACTCAGTCATGTCCAACTCTACGACCTCATGGACTGTAGCCCACCAGGCTCCTCTATCCACGGAATTCTCCAGGCCAGAATACTGGAATGGGTAACCATTCCCTTCTCCAGGGTATTTTTCTGACCCAGGGATTGAACCCAGGTCTCCTGCACTGCAGGCGTATTGTTTACCATCTGAACTACCAGGGAAGCCCTAGTATTTGTGTATCATTCTTAGAAAGGTACAAGAAAACCAGGATTATTTTGTGAGTATTTGTGGTTTTAGTATTAATTTGAAGCTTACGTGGAAGAGGCACTAAATCATTTGTAAAAGTGCTCGGAGTATGACTTCCCAGTTTCTATAAGATAATGACAGTCACCTAAATTGGAATCTTTTCTAGAATCCTATGAAAAGTTTCACATTGACAAGGAAAGCAAATAAAATCATCTATGGCCCAAACCAACAGCATAACTAGAAGACTTCAATTTACATGTAAAAGAGGAAATTAACAACTGAAAACAACAGAACCAGCTCCTGGAGGCCTTACCCAAATAGTCAGGTATTCCAAAACACTTGGCCACCTGATGCAAAGAGCTGACTCACTGGAAAAAACCCAATCCTGGGAAAGATTGAAGGCAGGAGAAGGGGACAACAGAAGACGAGATGGTTGGATGGCATCACTGACTCAATGGACATAAGTTTGAGCAAGCTGGGAGACGGTGAAAGACAGGAAAGCCTGGCATGCGGCAGTCCATGGGGTTGCAAAGTGTCGGACATGACTGAGCAACTGAAAACCTATTGCAGAACATAAAATAAGATCAACTTATTTAATCCTCTCCTCTAGAAGATGGATACAAAATCTGGTGGTTACCACAGCCCTGGTAGGGGCTCTAAAAGAACTGTGGTTCAGAAGTTGTTAGTCTTGTGGAGAAGAGACACAATAGCGGAGGTATCATTTGAAGGTTTGGCCATGAGAAAAAGGAAGGAAGGAAGAAGACAAGGAAGAGGAGGGGAGAGGGAGCAAGAGGAGATGGAGAAGGGATGGGGAAGGAGAAAGAAGAGG